CGTGCGCCACCACCACCCGGCGAGGAAGGTTTTTTTTTTTGTTTTGTTTTGTTTGTTTTTCGAGACAGGGTTTCTCTGTGAAGCTTTGCGCCTTTCCTGGGACTCACTTGGTAGCCCAGGCTGGCCTCGAACTCACAGAGATCCGCCTGGCTCTGCCTCCCGAGTGCTGGGATTAAAGGCATGTGCCACCACTGCCCGGCCTTGTTTTGTTTTTCGAGACAGGGTCTTGCTGTGTATTCCTGAATGGCCTAGAGCTTTGTAGCCCAGGCTAGCCTGGAATTCATGGACTAATCTGTCTCTGCCTCCCAAGTGCTGGGATTTGTCATGTGGCCCCACACTCAGCTAAACCTTACTTTTTTTCTAATGGAGCAAAGTCGGAGTTTTGTTTTTGTTTTTGTTGTTGTTGTTTATTTATTGAGACAGCGTCTTGCTCCATAGCCCAGGTAGTCCTGGAACTGGCTCTGCACCCAGTTTGATCTTTAATTCAAGATGATGCTTTTGGTAATCTTCTTGCCTCCCCTTTTCTGAGTTCTGGGATTATAGACATGCACTACCATTCCTGGACAAGAAAGGTTTGTTTGTTTGTCTTTTTCAAGAGAGGGTTTCTCTGTGTAGCTTTGGTGCCTGTCCTGGATCTCACTCTGTAGACCAGACTGGCCTGAAACTCACAGAGATCTGCCTGCCTCTGCCTCTCAAGTGCTGGGATTAAAGGCCTGCACTACCACTGCCCAGCATCTAAGAAAGGTTTTTAGCACATATTTAAGCATGCCTTTAATCCCAGAGGCAGGCAGATAGTCCATGAATTCCAGGCTAGCCTGGGCTACAAAGCTCTAGGCCAGTCAGAAATACAGAGCAAAAACAAACAAACAAACAAACAAACCCAAATTTTCCATGTTTAAATAAAACTGTTCATGAGAGCCCAACAGTGGTGGTGCACACCTTTAATCCCAGCACTCAGGAGGCAGAGGCAGGCAGATCTCTCTGAGTTCAAGGCCAGCCTGGTCTACTGAGTGAGTTCCAGGACTACATAGAGAAACCCTGTCTCAAAAAAAAAAAAAAAAAAAAAAAAAAAAAAAAACCACCACCACCACCACCACCACAAAACTGTTCATGAGAATCTAGTAAGAATGATATAAATTCAAGGCCAGCATGGTCCCAGGACAGCCAGAACTACATGGTAAGACATTATCTCTTCAACCCAAATCAAACCAAGTCAACAAAACAGAAATAGAGTTTGGCATAGTGGCAAACACCTGTAATCCTAGAAATTGGGATATGAAGTTAGGGAGAAAAGGTGTTGTGGGATATTTGTACTCTGTGTGAAGATGTATTTGCTGTGATTAGTGTAATAAAAAACTGAACAGCACATAGCTAGGCAGGAGGTATAGGTGGGATTTCTGGGAAGAAAAAGGAAACACAGGAGGAATCTAGGTGCACGAGAGGTATAAGATGGACGACAGGTAACGCCATAGAACCTGGATTAATATAAGTGGGTTAATTTAAGTTAAAAGAACTAGTTAGGAACAAGCCTAAGCTATAGGCTGAGCTTTCATAATTAGTGTCTCGGGGTTGGGGATTTAGCTCAGTGGTAGAGCGCTTGAAGGCCGTGGGTTCGATCCTCAGCTCCAAAAAAAAGAAGTCTCTGTGTCATTATTTGGGAGCTAGCTGGTGGGATAGAGAAAGACTCATTACAAAAAGGAACTCAAGGTCATATTTGATAAAGTTGGAGGCCAACCTGGGCTACATGAAACCCAATGTCAACCTATCTACTCCTCCCAACCCCCACACACACACACACACACACACACACACACACACACACACACACACACACACTCCAATAGCCAGGCATGGTGACACATGCCACCTCAGCACGTGGGGGCAAAGACAGGATTGTACCAAGCTAGCTTCAGCTACATAGTACATGTGCAATGATGTCTGTGATAATTTGTAATAGTGAAAAACTGGAAATAGTGAAAACATCTAAATAATTATACATGCATGTAATAGAACTAGTTTTCGTTAATAGCTCAGGAAGCATTTGCCTGGTGACTTAACACATTGCTACATGAAAAAAGCAAATTGTGAAACTATTACATATAGAACGTTGCCACTGTTAATTGAATATGGAATCAGCATGGTGGCTCATTTCCTGTAATCCCACACTCAGGAGGCTAAGGCAGGATTGTTGCAGGTTAAGGCCACCCTGGAAAAATAATTCAAAGCTAGCCTAAGCTATAGAGTAAGACACTGTCTCAAAAAACCCATCCCCCAAATAAAAAGATCTCAAAAAACCCCATCCCCCAAATAAAAAGATCTCAAAAAACCCCATCCCCCAAATAAAAAGATCTCAAAAAACCCCATCCCCCAAATAAAAAGATCTCAAAAAACCCCATCCCCAAATAAAAAGATCTCAAAAAACCCCATCCCCCAAATAAAAAGACCTCAAAAAACCCCATGCCCCAAATAAAAAGACCAGTATGTGTTGCTGTACTTTCTTCTTATTCTTGAGACAGGGTTTAACATGGGTTGGTTGGTCTCAGACTTGCTCTATGGTGGAGACTGGTCTTGAATTCTTATTTTTTTCTTTCTTTTACATTTATTTGTTAATTTTGTGTTTACAAATGTGCATGCATGTGTGTGTGTGTGTGTGTGTGTGTGTGTGTGTGTGTAGGTAAGAAGACAACTTGTGGAGGTCAGTTCTTCCTCTCCTTCCACTATGTAAGTTCCAGGGATCAAACTCAGGTCCTCAGGTGCCTTTATGGGTTGAGCCATGTGATAGGCTTCAATAGTTGATCCTCTTGCCTTTCCCCCCCCCCCCCCAGAGCTGGTGGTATAGTCATGTGCCACCACACCTAGTTTGTTATACTTTTTGATATTTGTATGTGTGTGCTTTCATGTATGTGGAGGCTAGAGGTAGATGTTGATAGGGGTGAAGTGTAAAAATACAGAAAAGGATTGTGGCTGGCTGGGATAATCAGAAAAGCTTTCTTATATTAAATAAGGTTTGAAGGCATAATAACGTTCCATGCAGAGACACAAAAGCCAGAAGAATACTTGTCTTTGGAGGATGGCAAGGATTTCTGGAGCAGTAACAAAGAAGCTTGATAAAGAGAAACCAACGTAGTTTTCTGAGTAACTGTAAAGAAAGAGAGGAAAATGCGGTATTGTAAGAGAAAAATTTGCTCTAGTGCCGCAGTATGAGATTGGGTGAGTGTTAGTGTCTAGACTTCGAATGTCCACTTGGGGGTGCTGTTTCAAAACAGCGGCCGACGTGAACTAAGGTGAAAGGAAAGTGTAGCAGGTAGAACGTCAAACAAAGAAAGCGGTCTAACATTTGGACAAATTAACAAAAATAAAGTGATAGGCAAATACTAACTCTCTTCCTTACTACTGCGTACTCAACAACTTGGTCTCCGATAGTGCCACAAAACTGAGCCCTACAATACTCCTAGGGCTCCTACTAGCTAGTCTTCCTTTAGAGACTACTATTCCCAGGAACCCTCGAGGAAGGTCAGGGTCCTCGTCCTCTTCCCGGGTGCAAGAGTGGCTCGCCGCATGGCCTTCTGGGATTCGAAGTCTTGCAGTGTCCTTCGGGAGATGTAGTTCCTTTCCCACAATCGGCTGGGCGAGGCGGCGCCGGCGATCAGAGCAGTGCTGGGTGTTCAGGGGCCAAGATGGCGGCGCGCCGGGGACGGAGAGACCGAGTCGCGCCGCCTCCGACTGGGGGCCCAGGTCCTGACCCTGGCGGTGGAGTTCGCGGCGGCGGTTGGGCGAGTTGGAGCCAAGCGCCGCATGGGACCGTGGGCGCCGTGAGCGCTGCGGAGCAGGTGAGAGGGTGGCGGGCGGCCCGCGGCTGGCAGCAAAGCGGCGTGTGCCGGGCGGTGACACGTGGACGCCACAGGAAAGGGAGGAAGCACTGGCGTGCTGATGCTGCGGGAGCTGGCTAGGGTGGAGAGGACCTGGGTCGTTTTCTGGGGGTACACCAGCAGCGGGAGGAACCCTGCGGCGATTCCTGGGAACGCCTGAGGGCCAGAGTCGGGCGTCGGAAACGTGGCCCTCGCTGGGGCGGCGGGGGCTGGGGATTGGCGTTGAAGGCTAGGGCTGCTTTCTAAGGATGCCGAAGAGAGCTCCAGCAGCTTGGCGCCGTAGTTCCTTTTTCGGAGCACGTGGGGTGTGGGGGGACGATTTTCCCGGGAGAACTTGTCTGCCTCCCCCTCCCCCTAGGCGGCGCGGGCGCCCACGTGGGTAGGGCTTGCCGGCGGGGCGGGGGGAGCGCGGGGCGCGGGTCCACGTGGGGGCGGGGAAGGGATGTCCACGTGGCTCCTGTCCCAGGCTGTCGGGCATCTAGTATCCGCGCTGGAGCCGCACTGCCGGGAACTGGGTGTGTCTCGGCCGCTCCCGCCATCTCTGGTCTGTGCTGGGGACCTCTGGCCTGGAGGTAGGGGCTGCGGGAGGCAACTTTTCTCCGAGCGTAGAAGAGTTTATTCCCTCTTGCATGCGTCTGCAACGCTTTCCGTCGGTGGATGGTGGACTTTCCAGATGTTCCCAAAGGCAGCTTTCTAGAAATGTCAGGGTGTGAGGCGAGGGTTAGAGGACTGTGGAGGAATGAGTTCGTGGACGCTTCTGTCTGACCTGCTTAGAGTGGGTTGTGAGTCACAAGACACTGGCCTTTTCGGTTGCCCGAAGCCCTTCATATGGGATTCAAGGGTCATGGGAGTGTCAATTTACCTGGGACTAGTTTAATTTTTCCCCTAGCATCTTTTTGGGAGGAGATAGTTAAGGCATTCGCTGGTGAACTCACAGACGCAACTGTTTGTGAGTGTGGCTGTGTGAGGCTTTCTGAAATTTTTGATGAGACAGGAAAAGTTGGAGGTGGTTTGAAAACTATTCAACGTTAGTTAATATTAATTTAAAGGGAGAATTCTTTGTGCCAAAATTTTGTGTGTGTGTGTGTGTGTGTGTGTGTGTGTGTGTGTGTGTGTGTCCCCGTCCGTCCGTCCTTCAGTTCTCCTTACTTAAAAGTGTTTTTAGCCTACTGTTCATTGCTGGGATTCCAAAAATGCTCAACCAGGTTGGCAGTGAGTGAGCAGGAATTAGTTGTGTTCTTGAAGCAATTTAAGCGGAGTCCTTGACAGCAACCCCCCCTTCCCCGCCCCCAAGTAAAGTTGGGTTACAGGCTTCCCAGTAATACAAGGTCCAACCGAATGGTCCAACCGAACAGTCTAGGGGATAATGACTTTGGGATCAACTACCCTTTTCCTCCGACTTATAAGCGGTTACATCTTTTGTGGCCAGTGCTGTTCACAACATCACCATCTGGGAGAAATGGTACGGATCCAAGACCCTGTTCTACTATGTTAGATGGTCAGTCAGCCCAGTAGTTATCAAGGTGCCATATGTTTAAATACAGATGGATTGCTAAAGCACACAAATGTGATCCGTGCATTCTTGGGTTTAGCTCAGGATAGACAGATAATGAATGGTGGTGGTGAGATGGAAGACAAGTGCGGCCTGTTGAGGATTACGTGGTCATCAGTAGTCTAACTTGAGAGTCTGTGAATGGAAGAGACTTTTATCAGTGTGAAAAGCAGACATGAGAGGAACTCGGGTGGACTTGGAGAGGACATGCTGCCGAAGAGGCTGGCTGGAAGACCAGGGCATAAGCCATTATAAGGAGTTTAAATCCATTGCTAAGAGCAGAAAGATACCATTGAAGGGATTTTGCTAGGTTTTTGTTTTGTTTTTCGAGACAGGGTTTCTCTGTAGTCCTGGCTGTCTTGGAACTTGCTCGGTAGGCCAGGCTGGCCTCAAACTAAGATATCAGCCTGCATGCTGAGAATAAAAAGGCGGCACCACTCCCCTCCCCCCACTCCTCAATGCCTTTTGAAAGGATTTATGATGGTCCTAGGAAATGACCTGATGGTCCTAGGAATGGCCTGTTTTTGCTTCTGGAGCTCAACTAGTTACATGTTTTAAAGTGTTTAGAAAAAGTTTCTGGGCTGGGCTTAGAGGTAGGATAACCTAGAGTTTAATGGTATAGCTGGGCCCCAGCACTCAGGAGACAAAGACAGGTGGATCTCTAAGTTCAAGGCCAACCTGGTCTACAAAGTGAGTTCCAGAATAGCCAGAACTGTTAAACAAACAAACCCTGTCTGGGGGCAAAGGAGGGAGGAGTTTAAGGGTCACCTTGGTTACATAGCAAGTGCAAGACCAGCCTGGGCTACATGAGATTTTGTCTCAAAAAACTGAAATTAAAGTTGGCTTTGAATTCCGAATGAGCAGACTTGATGTGAGAAAGCCAATTAAGAGGCTGCTGGAGTTTAGTGGTGAGCTCACTTTTGGCTTGGACTTAGCTTTGGATGATCTGGACCCCCTGGGAACTATCTTAACTGGGGATTGTGAAGAGTATAGGTGAAGTGATGTGAAGGGAGACAGATGTCTCTGTCTTAGCCTCCAGCACCTGCCCAGAGGAGGTAGAGATGATGGTTTATAGGCTGGACCGGTCTGGCCTAGTGACCTGGGCTGTAGAAGGGAGGAGGCAGGCCAGCTGGAGATGCAGGCTACTTGCTCACCTGTGACTGTTTGCTGAGCCAGGCACTATTCAGCTTCTGGTTGTAATTACAGGATTGTGAAGGCCTGGGTGGGAGTGGTTAGTCCCTGAACCTGCTGCCTTTTCACGTCAGCTCTGGGCCCAGACTCCTAAAGTGTCTAAACCAGCCTTTCCTCCCTGGCCCTGCAACTCCACCTCTGTAGAGGGTTCGGGTGTGGAGGGATATTCAGGCCTGTTGCTTTTTTCTTTTGGGAGAGTACAAGTGCTACATCTCCCTTTGCTGCAGAAGGGTGTCTGGTTTGCTGATTCTGTTCTCAGGCCTTTACACCATACTTCCAAGAGCAGATGTGCATAGCTGGGGCTCTGGCTTCACCAGTTCCATTTTGGGTCTTGCCCATGCCCTGCCCATGACACTTGACAGGTCTGGGCGGGTCCTGCCTCATGACACAGCTGAAGACACTGCTAGTTCACAGAAGCATTCGAGGCGGTCCTCTCCATCTGCAGAATCAGGCTTTCTCTTTAGCTCCCATTTGGTAGGAGTGGTGAAGAGACTCTTCCCTTCCCTTAGAACTACCGTTGATATTCTGTTGCTCATCGTTGGGTCTAACAGTGTAACTCAGGTGTAGAGTCTTAGAGTGGGTTTAGTCTCCAGCACAAAGAACAGGGAGTGTGGATATTGTATATAAGATATTGTAAGGCATAATGGGTAAATTGGGGGGTATAGGCACATATAAATTCTGATGCACAGAAGAATATAAACAAATATATGAATACAATCCTAAGTATTATTTGCACCAAAAGAATTGGAGTCTATTATTTTCCTCTTTTAAAAAGTTATTTGTTGAGGTTGGAGAGATGGCTCAAAAGTTAAGAGCACTGAGTAGCTGCTCTTCTGGAGGTCCCAAGTTCAAGTCCCAGCAACCACGTGGTGGCTCACAACCATCTATGAGATATGGCACTCTCTTCCGTTGTACAGACATACATGCAGGCAGAACACTATATACATAATAAATAAATCTTTTAAAACAAGTAATTTGTTATACAGAGAAACCCTGTCTCAAAAAAAAAACCAAAAAAAAAGAAAGAAAGTGATTGCGTTTTGCATTTCTTGTTTGTTTTGTGCTTGTCTCAAAAACACTATGTCTCATTATGTAGTCCTGATTGGCCTGGTACTTGCCATGTTGACCAGGCAGGCTTTGAACTCAAGAGATCTGTTTGCTTCTGCCTCTCAAGTGCTGGGATTAAAGGCTTATACCATCATTTGTTTTTTGTTTTTGAGACAGCAGATCTAGCTGTCCTGGAACTCACTTTGTAGACCAGGCTGGCCTCGAACTCACAGAGATCCACCTGCCTCTGCCTCTGAGTGCAGGGACTAAAGGCGTGCGCCACCACCGTCCAGTGTAGTACCACTATTGTTCTACCACATTTGCTTGTTTATTGGGATTGAAGGCTTAAGCCTTTGGTGTGGCAGGTTTGGGGGCCTTTGTGTTCCACTGGGTGTGTGAGAGATTGTAGCTGGAGGAATCAGTTCTCTGTACCTAGTGAGTACAGGACTGGAGTGAGAAGCTGAGCCATCTTTGTGACCCAGGGTTATGTTAGGGATCTGACAGGATAGGCAGGATGCGGTTGTCAGGGAGTGAAAGGTTGAGGAAAACGTTGAGCTGGTGTGAGAGGAGATCAGCGTGGGCTCGGGAGGCCCAAGAAGTCCTCTTGGAAGAGTGGAGGATTGGCGCTCAGTACAGAGCAGAGGCCTAAGAGGGACCTGGGGTGGGTCGTGAGTTAGAAGCTTAACTTCCCTGACTGACCTTTTTCTTTGGTATTCCTCTCCATCTGGTACCTTTCCCACTACAGCAGGTGACTTTTTAGAAAGCGTTTCTCTTGTATTTCTGGTTGCCTTGCAATGGAGTTATTAACAGCTGCCCTCCAAAGGTCTTTCTGACTTAGCCTCCCCTCTTTTTCCTCAGGTCCATGAGGAGGGGGATGACTCCAGCTTTGTCAATCTTTCTCGACTGGGCTCCTCTCTGAGGGATAAAGACCTGGAAATGGAGGAGCTGATACTGCAGGATGAGACACTACTGGAGACCATGCAGAACTACATGGATGCCTCCCTCATCTCCCTCATTGAGGATTTTGGGAGTCTTGGAGAGGTAAGCTAGGGCAAGGCTTGGAGTTCTTGAGACAGGATCTTTGCATGGGATGGTCTGTCTGAAATCTTTGGAGTTGTTTTAGACATGGCTTTGTTCTCCCAGATCATAACCTCTTGGATGCCCAACCTGAGTCCTTGAAAGATGTTTTTGTATGTAGGTAGAGTTAGACTACAGAATGTCTGACTGGCCCATGAAGGGGTGCCTTCAGCTTGGACTATACTCTAAAGCTTATCTCCTTTCAGGGTCTTTGACCTATGTGTCCAGGAGGTTCTAGTCTGCTTTTGATCCTAATACCAGTCTAGCCCTGGATGGTTTCCTGAGCATCTCACATCTTACTTGAATGTGTAAGAGTGTGAAACCCAAGCCTAAGGCTCAGTCTAACAGGTCTCCTTTAGCACTAGAGAGTGGGTAGGTAGTAAAAGATGGGAACCCATCCTTCCTGGGACTCAGATCCTTCTTGCTGGGAGATTAATTCTCTTGGCATCCAGTTCTTTGTATGGCTTGGTAGGTTATTAGAGATCTTGGGGGAACCTCTTGTCTCTCTGGAGCAGAACAGGTTATCTCTGGAGGACCAGAACGAAATGTCGCTGCTCACAGCTCTGACAGAGATCCTGGACAACGCAGATTCTGAAAACCTGTCCCCATTTGACAGCATTCCTGATTCAGAGCTGCTTGTGTCTCCTCGGGAGAGCTCCTCTGTGAGTATGGGGGTGGGTGGGATGTGGCCAGTACAGAGGTCACAGCCACATCTGTGAGCCTGTTCATATAAATCTGCACAAAGTGATTCAGGGGTCTCTTTTCTTCTTAGCTCCACAAGCTACTCAGTTTCTCTCGGACGCCCCCAGAACGTGACCTCATCACCCCAATTGATCCTTTGGGGCCTAGCACAGGCGGTAGTAGGGTGAGTGGAGTAAGCCTTACCTGGGGACCCTCATGAACTCACAGTTTGGGGAGGACATAGGGACTGTCTGGAAAGCACTTCTTGAGGAATGCCTTTGAATCTGCTCTTTCTCCTGTAGGTTGAGATGTCCCTTGCAGATTCTCCTTGGGACTTCTCTCCACCTCCTTTCTTGGAAACTTCTTCCCCAAGGCTGCCTAGTTGGAGACCCTCAAGACCAAGACCTCGATGGGGTCAGTCCCCTCCCCCCCAGCAGCGCAGTGATGGAGAAGAGGAGGAGGAGGTCGCCAGCTTCAGTGGTCAGATGCTTGCTGGAGAACTGGACAACTCTGTGAACAGCGTGGACTTCCCCATGCATCTGGCATGCCCAGAGGACGAAGACAAGCCAACAGCAGCAAAGATGGCAGTGTCAGCACCTGGCGATGAGAGCATCTCCTCATTGAGTGAGCTGGTACGCGCCATGCATCCATACTGCTTGCCCAGCCTCACCCACTTGGCGTCACTTGAGGGTGAGCTTCAGGAACAGGCGGATGATTTGACACTGCCAGAGGGTTGTGTAGTGCTGGAGATAGTGGGCCAGGCCGCCGCAGCTGGTGATGACCTGGAGATCCCGGTCGTGGTGCGGCAGATTCCTTCCGGATCCCAGTCTGTACTCTTGGATGAGTCTGTAGGGACCAGTCCTGCCTTGCAGCTACTTATGCCCACCATGGAGGCCGGGACGGAAGCTGCTGTGCCTAAGGTTGACCCTTGCCCTGATCAAGAAGAATTATCATTGAACTCTGCCTGCTTATTGGAGCCCAAGGAAATCATGGAGTCATTGTCACCCAAGGAGCCTCAGAACCCACCCACTAATGCAATTCAGGGTTTTCAGAGAGTTCCCAGAAAGGGCAGGAAGAAGAAGAGCAAGGAACAGCCAGCAGCCTGTTTGGAAGGCTATACCAGGAGGCTGAGATCATCTTCTCGTGGACAGTCTACCATGACTACAGAGGTGAACTCTCAGGCAGGCAACTTACAGAAACAGCCGCAGGAAGAACTTCAGAGAGAGGCTGAGGCTCCTCAGAGCAGGGGGAAGCCACGGGCGTGGGCTCGGGCATGGGCAGCTGCCTTGGAGAAGACTGGGTCTGAGGACTTACAAAGAAGTACAGGACGGGATAGTTCTGCTGAAGAAGATGCTCTGGACCTCTGCCCTAAGCTGGTTGACACTAGTCGAGCCAACCCCATTCTCTCACTAAATGACTCTGCTCAAGCTGACCCCATGCCAGTTGACTCTGTTGAAGCTGATGCCACTGCATTTGGCCAGGCTGTAGCTGATTCTATACCTGTTGACCAGGCTTCAGCTAGTACAGCGCTGGTTGGTCCTCTCCCAGTAGGCCCAATGCTGACTGGCCCAGTCCTGGCTGACAGGGCAAGAGTTGAACCTGCAGTGGCTATTCCCACTTCAGGTAACTTGTCTCCAGCTGATGCTATCCCAGCTGACACAGTGGTAGTTGACCCTATTCCAAATGACCAGACTCCAGTAGATCCTGTGGTAGTTAAGTCCAGACCAACTGACCCTAGACGTGCTGCAATAGCAGCAGCTCAGGGAAACCGTCTTTCCCTGGAGTCCTCAAACCAGCCCACGGTCATCACCCCTGAAGTCAAGGAGGTTCCAGGTCCTCTGAAGGTGGAAGGTAGCACCAGTGCTACAACCCCAGAAGCCAGACCTCGGCCTCTCAGCCTGTCTGAGTACCGGCAACGAAGGCAGCAACGGCAAACAGAAGCAGAAGGCAGGAGTTCTCAGCCCCCAGCTGGCAAGTGGCCTAGTCTTCCAGAGACCCCCACAGAACTGGCAGATATCCCTTGTCTTGTTCCACCAGCCCCAGCCAAGAAGACCGCTCCACAGAGAAGCCCTGTAGCTCTAGCAGAGACTTGTTTTGTGTCTGTGGGTACCAGCCCTGCTTCCCCTAGTCCCGAGCCATCTGCCAGCAAACCTGTGGTTTCAGCTCACCCTGAACAGGTGCCATCTCATGAGATGCCACTTGCAGTTAGACCGCCCCCTCCTACCTTGCAGTCTGTGTCTCCTGCTGGGCCCATCCCTTCCGCAATGCCCCCTCCTTTGCCTTTCCCTCCAGGCATACCTCCTCTGCTTCCTCTTCCTTCAGGTGGCCACGGAGTCCCCAGTGTGCCCCCACCTCCCTTGCAACCACCTGGACTTCCAGTGTCAATGAGACAAATACCACCTGACCCCTATACCCACTATGCCCCTGTGCCACCCTGGCCTTGTTATCCTTCTGTGTCCTCTTCCGGCTATCCTTGTCTGCCCCCACAACCAACGGTGCCCATGGTGTCTGGTACTCCTGGTACCTATGCTGTACCCCCAACTTGCAATGTGCCTTGGGTACCCCCTCCTGCACCAGTTTCACCTTACAGCTCCAGCTGTGCCTATGGGCCTGTGGGGTGGGGCCCAGGGCTGCAGCAGCCTCCATTCTGGTCTACTGTTTCTCCACCTCCTTTGTCTTCAGCCTCAGCTGGAAGAGCTGTTCCCCCATCCAATGTGGAATCCAGTAGTAATCCACCTGGTCCTCCTGAAGATAAGCTTCCTGTGCCAGTGACTCCTTCCCTAAGTTCTGGGCCAGCCAGCCCCATAGCTCCATCGATAGAGCCTACAAAGCTAGAGGTTCAGCCAGTGCCTGTGTCTCCCCAACCAAAACACAAAGAGTCCACCCTGGTACAAAGTCCCCAGGTCAAGGCTCCACCATGTCTGTCTGCTGAGTGTGAAGCTCTTGGGGAGTCTGCATCAGAGAGGCTAAAGCCTGAGGCTCAGGAGAACACAACAAAGGAGAAGCCCCCCCCTCCAGCTAGCAAGGCTGTTCCCATACCAAGGCAGAGCACTGTCCCGAAGATGCCTGCTGTCCATCCAGCCCGTCTAAGGAAGCTGTCCTTCCTGCCCACCCCACGTTCTCAGGGCTCTGAGGATGTGGTCCAGGCATTCATCAGTGAGATTGGTGAGTGCTGCACTGTAGTCAGTACGAGAAGGGTACAGGGGTTGGCTGGAAGTGTTGCCCACAGGCCAGAAGGAATAACGTCCACGAGGCTGCCCTTTGTTGGATGTTTTGGGGGCTCTGGTTGTATTTGAATCCTTGCTATGTGCTACTCCCTTGCTTCACTAACTTTGGTGGACAGGGAGGCATGTAAAGGGAGAAGTGGAGGCATCCTAGGACCTGTGAACTCAGTTGAGTAGGGCTAGATTTTCATCTCTTGTATTCCTTCACAGGAATCGAAGCATCGGACCTGTCCAGTCTGTTGGAGCAGTTTGAGAAATCAGAAGGTGAGGGAACCTAGATAGTTTTGTTCCAACTTTTGTTTTTGTTTACAGTTCCTTTGGGTTTAGCCTTGTAGTAGCTTGAACTGGGGTAGAGGGTAGGGGGTAATCTCAACAACCAGAAGAGCCTCTTAATTGGCATAGAGAGGCAACATTTCCCCTGGGAGAGTAATCTAAGCCAGGGATATGGTGGTATAGCGTAAGTAATTGAAGAGTAGATGAGGAGACAGTTGAAGGGAGGTTGGGATTGGATGGGGATTTTTTCTAGAGGGAAGCAACTCTTCAGTTGAACTTTGAGAGGTGGGATTTCGTATAACATATGCGGTGTGTAAGGCAGGAAAGAGTATAGGAGGTTTCCTAGAAGATATTTTGGAAGGCAATGAAGAGCTTGACTTTCTCAAGACAAGGCATGGTGCTGGGTGCTGTGGAGGTCACTTCTCGAGGAGCTTATGGTATAATTGGGAAAAGACTCTGCACAGATAACTTGAGTTGGCAACAGATATCTGTAGCATGTAAAACAGAAGAGTGAGACAGGTCGGCTGTGTGTTGTTAGAGATGTGGTTTCATGGGAGGACCCATGCTTAGCCTGTGTGCATGGTCCTAGATTCGTTTGCTAGACAAGTGTACTATCGAGTGTGGTATGTGTCTTTGATCCCAGTACTGGGAAGTAGATCTCTGAGCTCAAGGCCAGCCTAGTTTATATGAAAGTTCCAGGCCTGTTGGGCTACACAGTGAGACCCCATTTCAATTTATGGCTAGGACATTAGTTAGGCAGATCCTTGACTTCTAGGCCCATCAATTTGGACTCTGACTCAGAATCAGTGGGGAGTGGGTATTTCTGAGCAGAAGAGAAATAACTAAATGTCATTATCTACATAGCACTGGAGGAACTGGATCTGAGCTTTGTGTAGGCAAAGCTGGCTTCCTCCTCGGGGTGTCAGAATGCACTTCTATGCCACCTCAGTTTGGAACATCTGGTTGGGCTTTTAACTAATATGATTTCTTTACAGCCAAAAAGGAGTGTCCTCTCCCGGCTCCTGCTGACAGCTTGGCTGTAGGAAACTCAGGGTAAGTATGGAGATGTGAGCGAGTTACCCTACAGCTGTTGGTCAGCAGCCGGCCAGCACTCCAGGACTTCCAGCTGGACACCTTTGTGGCAGGGATGTTCCATCGACTCTAGTGTCTTCCCCTATTTCTGTCCCCGCTCTGTTACCGCCAGACACTGTCTTGGGTGATGAGGTGGGGGAGGGTATGTACTATCAGGAATACCAATGCCTCTTACAATTTGGCAAATGATGTCTTCTGGATTTCTTCCCTTCTGTTGTCAGACTTCAAGCTTGTTCAGTGCTGGTGATGGGGTCACTTAAAGTAGAGGGGCAAATAGCTGGGGCTCCCCTAACTCCTTGAAGGACACAGGCACCTGAACCTCTACTTCACAGCATTCTGACAATGAGGCCTCATTTTTCACATTCCTGATCTGCTAAGTGTATTCTTTATCCACACTGATTTCAGTTAGAGTTGAGCTTGGTAGGCAAGGTTCCGGATTGAAGGAGGTGGGGGGACTCAGGGTCATCTCATTGAAGGTCCTAGCCAGCCTGCTTCCTGGAATTTGGCAGAATTGAATAGGCCCAATCTACCGCTTGGTCACTATGGCCCTTCTGTGCTAGAAGACAACTATGGGGCAGTTTGGGCATCCTGTTTTTCTCTACATACACCTTTTCGTTGCTTTGTGAGGAAAACAGATATATAAGATACTGAGGCAATGAACCAGGCTTTCCCTTTTCCCCCCCGCCAGCAGCATTGACACTCCCCCGGAGAAGAGACCCCTAGACCGGTTACAAGCCCCAGAACTGGCCAACGTGGCAGGTGGGTTCAGGTTGAACTCTGGTTTAGTCTGTGCGGCACCTGTGCAGTGCCTGCTGTACAGCAGTGTGTGTGGACGTCGAGGTACAGACATCTGGTCTCCATTGCTGTGTTCATGGTCAAGGGGGCAGATGTATAAACAAATGAGCCTGTTGATTATCAGAGGTGATATATTCCGTAGGCTGTGAGGGGCAGTGGGGGAGGGGTGTGTAGACTGTTAACACTGAGCTGAGGCCTGAGAACAGTCACTGCTGTCAGTCAGATGGTAGCTTTTAGGGAAACAGCAGCCTGACTGAACTAACTACAGAAGGAACTAGCTTGTTGGGTTTTGTAGCCCTGGAAGTGGTTTGGTTTGACTGGAGAGTAGAGGCTCACTGGGGTAGTTGACAGAACAAAGCAAGAGTTAAGGCTCAGTGATTAAACACGAGGGCCGATCATGGAACTTAAGTGCTGTATTAAGCTGCTGGGACTTCATCCTGTATATGTTTTGAAGAAACAATTGAAAAGGCATTCTCAGCCTGGTTTTTGGATGGTTTGTCTAGCAAGAGTCTAGATAACAGGTATGGAGCTGGAAGGGAAGTTGGTAAGTTTATGGCGTGGGTAAGTTTATGGCGTGAATCTAGGCAAGATGCAGCCTAGACATTAGGTAATGCTAGGTGGAGGGTGGATTTAAGCATGAAAATGATGGGGTAAATTAGATAGAACCTGGTCACCAGGTAGGTTTAGGTAGTTAAGTGGCTAATCTTTTGTTGTTAGAGCAGTTAGAGAAGTTGGGCTATTGTCAGTGCTTAGCGTACTCTTGAGAAGTGGGGTCTTGAACCTCCTAGATACACAGAATCTGGAGTATAGAACTGGATCTCACCCTGCTATCTCCATCCTCCCTCCCCCCACAGGGCTCACCCCTCCAGCTACCCCTCCCCACCAGTTATGGAAGCCCCTGGCTGCTGTCTCACTGTTGGCCAGAGCCAAATCTCCTAAATCTACCGCCCAGGAGGGAACCCTGAAGCCTGAAGGAGTTACAGAGGCCAAACATCCAGCTGCAGCCTGCCTCCAAGAAGGGGTCCATGGTCCTAGTCCTGTCCATGTGGGCTCTGGGGACCATGACTATTGTGTCCGAAGCAGGACACCCCCCAAAAAGATGCCTGCCCTAGTCATTCCAGAGGTGGGCTCCCGATGGAATGTCAAGCGCCATCAGGATATCACCATCAAACCTGTCTTGTCATTGGGCCCAGCTGCTCCCCTACTTCCATGCACAACTTCCCAGGAACCACTTGATCACAGGACTAGAAATGAGCAGGCAGGGCCTTCAGCGCCCTGTCTTGCCCCATCCACCTTGCTGTCTCCTGAGGCCTCACCCTGCCGGAATGACATGAACACTAGGACTCCCTCTGAGCCCCCAGGCAAGCAGCAGTCAATGCGCTGTTACCGAAAAGCCTGCAGATCAGTCAGCCCCCCAGGTCGGGGCTGGCAGGGCCGCCGTGGCCGCAGCAGCCGGTCTGTCAGCTCTGGGTCCAACCGGACCAGCGAAGCATCCTCTTCATCGGTGTCTTCCTCATCCCGATCCCGGTCCAGGTCCCTCTCCCCCCCCCACAAGAGGTGGCGAAGGTGAGCTTTGTTGGCCTGTTAGAGTCTTTCCATTTGGGAAGCTCATGAACTCTTTCGTAGTTTACCTTGAAAAGGCTATGGATTAACTCGTGTGCTTTCAGTCACTAAGGCTGAAGGTTGTCTTTGGCTTTTGTCTTCCTTTTTGTGGATTGTTGGAGGCAAGCTGTGGGACTATCCTGTGGTGGAGTCTGGGATATTCCTGAAATTTTCTGCTTCCTTGAAGATATACATTGAGTAGACTGTTAGAGTTTGATCTTGACTGTGATTACTATTATTACCGGTGCTCATACCTGGTATTTTCTTGGTGTCAGTGCAGGATAGTGGGTTACCCTTAAGTGCTGGTGAGATGGCTCAGTAGGTAAAGATGCATGCTTGGTGACCTGAGTGTGATCCTAGGATCACATGGTGGAGTGAGAAGCAGTTCTTGAAAGTTGTCCTCTGACCTCTGCATGCATGTTGTGGCACAATGCGCGCGCACACACACACACACACACACACACACACACACACACACACACACACGATAAATTACTGTCAAAAGAAAATTCTTGTGCAGTTGTAGCTCAGTAGAGTGACTGCCTAGTATGCATGAAGCCCTGGATTTGATTCTCAGCACCATATAAACTGCACATGTGTTACATGCCTGTAATCCTAGCACTGAGGAAATGGAGACAGAAGGATCACAAGTTAAATTATTCTTGGGATATATGAGACACTGCTGGAGCACTGATCCCTGTCTCCAGAAATGGCTGTGAACAGTAGTCTGACATGGGAACCTCCACTCTCGCCTTGGTTACAGTATTGCTCTGAGAGATGCTAGGGGAACAGTTAGAACTCAGACTCTGGAACCTTACTCCAGCACTGCAAATAGAGTAGCTGTCGAAACCAGGGTTAGCTAGCCCTCTGTCTCCTGAGTCTCCCCGTATTTCCTTTCTATTTCTGATTTAAGTGTTTTACCATTTTCAGTGGGAAGCATATGGTAAATGAAGCTCAGTAGTAATAGAGCTGTGTTAACTGTGTGGAAGGCTCTAGGTATATCCTCAGTACCACAAATAAGTATGCATGCTGAGCACCGGAGCACAATTCCTGTGCTGGCAAGGCAGAGAGAACAGAATTACAAGTTCACGGCCAGCTTGGGCTACCTAGTGAAACCCCTTCTCAAGGAAGAGGGTAATAAAAATGTCATGTAAAACTGTAAAAATACTTAATGTATGTAAAATTTTATGAAGGGTTTCCCATCTGTTATCTGCGAAGAAAACTTGAAACGCTTCTGTTCTCCTTTATCTTGGGTCCTGAACTTCTTGCCAGGGAGGCAAGTCTGAGCCTGACTGAGGTAGTGAAACTTATCGACCCCATTCTCATCATTCCTATGCCCTTTATTCCAGGTCCAGCTGCAGTTCCTCTGGGCGTTCCAGAAGGTGTTCATCCTCTTCATCATCTTCCTCCTCTTCCTCATCCTCATCCTCCAGTTCCAGAAGCCGTTCTCCTTCTCTCTCCCCTCACAGAAGAAGTGATCGAAGACGGCGGTGAGCATGAGCATGTGTTTGAGGGTAGTGCATCTAGGATGCATGTGTCTGAGAGTCTTGAATTGTGTCTGGGGGCTGATGGGACCTCTCTTGTCAGGTACAGCTCTTACCGTTCAAATGACCATTACCAAAGGCAGAGGGTGCTGCAGAAGGAGCGTGCTATAGTGAGTAGAGAAGCCAGTCCTGGGAGGAGCGGTTTGTCCTATGCCATGAGCTCAGAGTCATCAACAGCTGCAGCTCTGGCTCACGGTGTCTTTTTCCTTTGTCCGACGTAGGAAGAGAGAAGGGTAGTCTTCATTGGGAAAATACCTAGCCGCATGACTCGGTCAGAGCTGAAACAGAGGTTCTCTGTTTTTGGAGAGATCGAGGAGTGCACCATTCATTTTCGTGTTCAGGGGTAAGCTTGGGTCTTGAAGTTAGGATGTTTCTACTTTATATTCATATACCTTGATGTTTCCCTCTTCCCTGTGTGCTGTTGTGCTGAGCTGTATGGGGTCACCTTCGTTTTTATCATCAGAGGGTTGACGATTGGGGAAATGAGAAGCAGCACAGAGAAGAAGACTCTGGGGTGCTGAGTCTTCTCCGTAACCTGTGCATAAGTGGCTTACCCTCCCCACTAGGGACAACTATGGTTTCGTCACTTACCGTTACGCTGAAGAGGCGTTTGCAGCTATCGAGAGCGGCCACAAATTGCGGCAGGCAGATGAACAGCCCTTTGATCTTTGCTTTGGGGGCCGCAGGCAGTTCTGCAAAAGGAGTTACTCTGATCTTGGTGAGTGTTGGAGGGGGGCTTGAGGGCTTGACATATATCATCCCTGTCCCAGAAGGGTTTCTCGAACATTTGAGAGTAAAGCTAGTTGACTTGCATTCTCACATCCAAAGGCCCTACAGGGTGGGGTGAGAGGGAGTGGGCTCTCCTGTACCTCTTCACAAGCATGCCAGTTCTGCTCCATCTGCTACCGGGTTGGGCCATTTGAAAACCCTGTGATTGAGAAGTGGGGTCAGACACTATAATGTTGGTTCCTCTCTGCTCTGTAGACTCCAATCGGGAAGACTTTGATCCTGCCCCTGTGAAGAGCAAATTTGATTCTCTTGATTTTGATACATTGTTGAAACAGGCCCAGAAGAACCTGAGGAGGTAACCCTGGGCACTTCTCCCCGACCCATTTTCTCTGGAGGTGCCCAACCTCCTCCACCCCTCCCCCCACTCTAGGGGGAGAGAGCTGCTAGTGTGGAAATGACTGTTTTATAATAAATGGGAAAAGGTTAAATAAAAACGTGTTAAACTGGGATTTTTAAGTGGTTTTTGTTTTTTAATAACAGGTACTGAAAAAATTAACTTGCATTTCTAGTTAAGGTGGGTCTGAGGGGAACATCTAATAAACATGAACTATAGAGAACGCTCATGTGTTGTTCTTTCTGTGTGCTAATACCAAGTGTATTCTGTAGCTAGAGTTTTCCTGCCTGGCCCACAGTCAGGACAAATCTCTGTCACCTGCCAGTCCCACAGCCACTCAGACCCGACCAAGTAAACACAGAGACTTATATTGGTTACAAACTGTATGGCCGTGGCAGGCTTCTTGCTAACTGTTCTTATAGCTTAAATTAATCCATTTCCATTAATCTATACCTTGCCATGTGGCTCGTGGCTTACCGGCATCTTTACATGCTGCTTGTCATCGTGGCTGCTGGCAGTGTCTCTCTCTCTCAGCCTTCCACTTCCCAGCTTTATTCTCCTCCTTGTCCCGCCTATACTGCCTGCCTGGCCACTGGCCAATCAGTGATTTATTTATTGACCAATCAGCAACACACGACATAGAGACCATCCCACAGCAGTATTCAGTACTTTTCTGAACACATTTAGGGTCATGCTCACCTTCACTGAGTTCCTAGGATCTCTCTTCTGGTTAGGTGTAAAATCACGTTGAATTTAACTTGGCTTTTCAGCTCTGTCACATGTAAAACAAGTCAGAAGGGGAAAAACTTCTCAAACTTCAAAGACGTTTGTTTATGTTTTGGCAGCCTCTGTATCTAGCCTGTCCTCTAGCTCACTGTGCAGCTGAAGATGACCTTGAGCCTCTGATAATCCACCTCCTAAGGGCTAGGATTACAGGCATGTGTTAGTACATCTGGTTCATCTGGTGCTGGGAATTGAACCCAGAGCTTTGTGTATGTTAGGCAAGCACTCAACCAACTGAACTTTATCCTCAGCCCTATTTGTGTGTGGTGGTGTATATGTGTATGGAACGGAGACCATAAGACAACTTTCTGTGCCGCCCTCAGGAATGTCCTGAAGCTTACCAGTTAGGCTAGTCTGCCTTTGTAGAGAGTCCTTCTCTGTCCCACCAGGCAGCTCCAAAATCACAACATGGAGACGTATTATTAATGATGAAAGTTTGGCTGGTAGCTTAATGCTGTTGAACAGTCCTTTTTTACACTATGAATATGTATTACTCTCATTTGTTAATAAAAAGCTGACAGGCTGGTGGCTGGAAAAGCCAAACAGAATGATGGGAATAAGGTTAGAGTAAGAGATACCATCCAGCTGCCCAGGAAGCAAGACATGCTAGAGGACAGGTAAAGCCATGAGGCATGTAGCTATACATACATTAATAGAAATGGGTTAAGTTGTAAGAGCTAGTAACAAGTCTGAGCTATCAGCCAAGCTTTTATAATTAATACACGCTTCTGTGGCAATTTTGGAAGCAGCCACCAGGCTTGTTTTTACAACTTAACTCATTTTTATTTATGTGCTTCCCTGAGGCTCTTATCTGTGTACTGTCCATCCTGCTTTTTCCATTTCTATGCCTTTGTTCCTAGTGTCCTCTGTGCCTGGAAATCCTAACTATTGGCCATCCATCTTTTTATTAGACCAATCAGAGTGATGCTTCACAGTGTACAAGAAAATTATTCCACAACATGGCTTGGCCAGTGAGCCCGGAGGAATCCTGTCTCCACCACCACACCTGACAGTTTGCATTTTCCTGTAGGTTCTCGAGAATCATATTCCTTATCCTTGAAAGACAAGTGTTTTTGTTACCGAACCATCACATAGTCCTTTATTTTTGTAGTGCCTGGTTTTGAATCCAGGGTCCTATACATGGGGAAGCAAGAGCTATACTACTGTCTAGCCTAGTCTTTTTAAAAAAATTGTGGCCGGGCCACGGTGGTGCACGCCTTTAATCCCAGCACTCAGGAGGCAGAGGCAGGTAGATCTCTGTGAGTTCAAGGTCAGCCTGGGCTACAGAGTGAGTTCCAGGAAAGGCACAAAGCTACACAGAGAAACCTTGACTTGAAAAACCAAAAAAGAAAACGAAAAAGGTGTGTGTGTGTGTGTGTGTGTGTGTGTGTGTGTGTGTGTGTGTGTGTGTGTGTGTCTCGAGGTGTGACCCTGTCTGGAGGTCAGAGATTGAGGTCAGTTGTCTTCCTTTTCACTTTTTTTTTTTTTAAAGATTTTAATTTATTTGAGACAGCTCCTTGCTATGTAGCTTTCCTGGAGCTCGCTAGGTAGACCAGGCTGGCCTTGAGCTCACAGAAATGTGCTTATTTCTGCCGAGATTAAAGATGTCACCAAACCCATTTTAAATTTTGTTTTGCTGGGGTGGTAGGACACACCTTTAATCTGGAGGCAGAGTCAGGTAATCTCTGGTCTACAGAGTGAGTTCCAGGACAGCCAGAGAAACCGTCTCTTGAAAAAAAAAAAGGTTTTGTTATGAGACTGTCTCATTCTATTTTGTTTTAATTATGTATATGAATATATGTGTGTGTGTTTTTAAAGATTTATTTATTACATATACAGTGTTCTGCATACATGTATCCCTGCAGGCCAGATGAGGGCACCAGATCTCATTACAGATGGTTGTGAGCCACCATGTGGTTGTTGGGAATTGAACTCAGGACCTCTGGAAGAGCAGCCAATGCTCTTAACCTCTGAGCCATCTCTCCAGCCCAAATGTGTGTCTTTTTGCATATGTACATGTATCCGTGGGTGCTACAGAGGCCAGAAGAGGATGTGGGATCCCCTAGAGCAGGACTCATAGGTGGTTGGGAGCTGCCTGACCCAAATTCAGCCTCTGGAAGAGCAGTAAATGCTTCTAATAACTGAGCAATCTCTCCAGCCCCCTCACCTTATTTTTGAGACAAGATCTCTCGCTGAATCTAGAGTCCAGCCAGTTAGCTGCAGGGTCATCGGTATCATATCAGCCCTAGGGCTGCGGATGCAAGCCACAGCACCTGCTTTTCCACCAGTGCTGAGGATCTGAGCTTGGGTATCCATGCTTGCAAGGCCAGCACTTGCACACTGAGCTGTCTATCTAGTCCCTTCTCAGTTTGGTAGAGTTGGCTCAGGCTGGACTAAAACCCTCAGTTTCCCTGCCTACTCCTTTGAGCAGCTATTACAGGTGAGAGCTACCTGGCTTGTGGCTAGACATCTTTTTAGAACACAAACTGACTTCTGGGATGGAGATTTAGTATTTCAAATTTTGGGAGAAGTGATCTCTCTCTCTTTTAAGACAGGGTTTCTCTGTTAAACCCAGCTGGCCTCAGATGAAGAGATCCCGCCTTTGCCTCCCAAGCCCTGGGTTTAAAGGCATTTGCCACCTAATGAGAAACTCTTGTTGGAAATAATGGTTTTCTAAACTGGGGCTTGTGTCCATTAAGTGTTTCAGTGAAGCACCAGATTAGCTTGGTCACAGTCTACGGCGTGGGCTTGAATATTTTTGTTTGAGACAGGGATTTTGTGTGTAGCCCTGTCTGTCCTGGAACTCGCTCTGTAGACCAAGCTGGCCTCAAACTCAACAGAGATACGCCTGCCTCTGCCTCCTGTGTGACCACGCCCCACAAATTATTTTTTTTTAATGCACATATGTGGATAGAAACACCTCTGGGAAACAGGGAGATAACAGTTCTCTTTAGGAGAAAGGCGTGCCTGTTTTGAGGAAAGTAAAAGGGTGGCCACAGGAAATGGGTCTTTATTCCTTCCTGAGGGATGACTATTGTAATCTGCAAATGGCTGATACTAGAGTTATGACAGAATTCAGTGTGACTTCTGACTTAGGGAGAAAATATTTTTATGACTTAATAGAGTATATTGCTTTTTGATTCAGGTTTCATACATGATCCTTTTCTCCTAAAAGAGCTGTCCCCTCACTCCATGGAATTGTGTGTGAGAGGGATAATTAGTTTTCTTGTAACCTAAGTATGATTGACAGGCAGTTTGGGGTATTAACACCGTTGTCACCCCAGTGAGCAACTGCTGGGTGGTACCGCTGGGTGTGAACGTGAACGGTAGGAGAGAAGCCATTGTCAGTGGTGAGAGACGCGTACTGCAGTCCATTCGTCATTGTGGGATCTGAGTAGCAGCCGGGGCTGGGAAAACTACTGTGGAAAAAAATCCATTCAGCAAAGATAACGCACGGGAAGTCACAAGTTTTCCCGCCACAGACCGGAGCGTGACCTCTGACGCAAAAGCTCCGCCTCCATAATGGGCGGTCGGCCGGCTCCGCCCTTAGCAGGATGGCGATGCACTTGAGACCGGAAGGAGTTTATAGACGTCGCCTGGATCCTGCCTCCGACGCGGGGGCGGGGGGGAGCTGCCCTCCAGCCCGACGCTCCCGCTGCGCGCCGCGCGACGTGATGACGACACTGGGCCCGCCCCCTGCCCTGGTGGTGCTTTAGAGTTCCTGAGTCGTGCAGCGTGCGCGACGGTAGTGACGCGTTTTACCGGGAGTATGGCGGATACCGGCTTGCGCCGCGTGGTTCCCAGCGACCTTTATCCCCTCGTGCTCGGCTTTCTGCGTGATAACCAACTTTCGGAGGTGGCCAATAAATTTGCAAAAGCGACAGGCGCTGTGAGTCCTGGGTTTGGTCCGCGGACCGGGTTGGGACGGCTCTCCAAGAATGTAGGCCTTGACATGCTTAGGAGTCAAGGAAGAGAGGTCTGGGGTCTGTCAGTCAAATGTCTGCGAAGCCTCACTGCTGACCATTCTAAAGCTTGAGGCCTCGGCATCTCCCCTCACGTGTCTGACTAGTGATCCTTACTGCTTTGGCTAGGTGAGTTTTGCAGTGGCGGCAGGCGTGGGTCCCTCGTGGCCCAGGTCATGTGGCTGACAACATAAGATGAGCAAGCGCTAGGTCCCACTGGGAGCATTGGGTTGTCGGTGCCTGGTTCTTCTGGTGTCCTTTTTTGTTGGCCTTATCATTGTTCGTAATTTAGCCTGAGACTAATGAAGGCTAGGATTTTATCTTCATATGTTTTTACAAAAGGAAATAATGATTGTAGGACTAGGCTGCT